GAGAGCTTGTAACACTGCATTAATCTACTTCTGAAGATCTGAACATGTATTTCCTGAGATGTCGATCATGTTGACTTCCTGAAGCTTAATTATACACTTTTTGGCTATTCTCTTGATGGGAAAGAGGTCGTTAGTAAAAAAAAAAAAAATACTTTTCAAAAGACTACAAAAAGAATCACATTATGGCATCTATAATTCTACCAGGTACTCATCTCCTTAATTTCAGCAGGATTCTGTCAAAATAAACATTAAAATAAATGTGGAAATGGGAGGGGCTGATTGAGGAAGGAATAACCACCACTAATAAATCCTCTTACCTTCATATTCTCTTAGCCCATAGTGGCCCATTGGTTTATTTAACCAAGTATGTATTTCTCTACTGAGGTGACATTTTTCATTGTAGAAGCAACATTAGTGTTATAATCATGCCCTCTGTACATCATAACCTTCTATTAAAGTACATGCACCATAAGCTTCCTTTATTTGGGTCAAATTTAGCCATGCCACAAGCATTCCATATCCTGGCATGCAGAAATCATATGCTCCCAAGCAGAATATGAAGGTGTCAACTTGGACAAGGAACTTCCTGCCCTTCATACCAGCTCTGTAAGGTGAAAAGTTGAATAGACTTTTTAGTTCTCTAATTATCACTCTTTGAGCATTAACTTGTTTATCTCTCCTTTGCCTTTCTTCTTTTCTATCTACTGCCTTTATTTTATGCGTAATCTACTATCCTTTTGCAAGTATTTTGAGGTGATTTCAAAGGTAGATTTAGATAAATAGAGCCTAAATTTCCAATTCTTCAATAGATCCCCTCAAAATAAAAAACATTCAGTTTCATATCTAATTTCATATTTAAATGTGATATACCGAAAAGGGTATGTGAAATGTTCATTTGCCCATACGTGAGACTTAGGGGGACAAAAAAACAAATAGAAATAAAGGTATCAATAAAGGGAAAGGTCTGAGAAAAGAAGTAGAAGGGAAACAAGGCAGGCATTCAATGCTTGAAAGTTCCCCCAGTGAGCATCAAGATGGCTTACCCTACTGAGCCCCATTGAAAGAATAGCCATGATCTGTTCATGGCATAGCTCTTGCTGCTGTCAGAAGAGCAACTTGTATTCAAAGACAATGAAAGTACTAATTAATTGTGAACTGCATCATAGGGGAACACTGTATAGAAGACACTATCATACGATGATCAAAAGGATTGTTTACACAATGATAGAAAACGTCCAGAAAACAAATGAACTTTTGTTCCAATAAACTTTGTGAAGCTCTTCCAGATCAGGTATCAGCCAGGATAGATACAAGAGACAGAAAAGACAAGACATGAGGCTTGTCCTCTTGGTACACTTAGACAAACACAAATATATTGATAAATCCAATATAAAAATATTCCCAGAGAACTTTGAGATGACAAAAAGAGAGAGCTAATTCCTATCAGGAATCTCAAGAAAAAGAAGGGAAGACAAATTATGAGTTCAGTTTTAAAGACAAACATAGTCTTTACATAATAGTTTTTACTTCACAGGGAATGTTGAAAACATTGGCCAACATCATGTGTCCACACAATCTTCCTGGGCACAACCTCTGATTTATTCATATCACTTAGGGTTCCAATCTCTGTTGTGTGATAGAATCACATGCAATGATTCATTCTTGACAGATGCTAGACACACCCAACTTTCATGAAATGAATTGCCGCATTTTATTTCTATGCCTTACATGTTGATAGGCTTTGTCATGGCTTACTTGGTTTTGTGTGTATCCTGCTACTAAGTCTTGATGCTTTTTTGCTCAAGGCTAGCAAACTACCATTTGAGTCACACCTCCACTTGCAGCTTTTTTTAGTGGCTATTTGGAGATGAGTCTCCTGGATTTCTGCCTGGTCAGGCTTCAAACCATGATCCCTAGATCTCAGACTTCTGAGTAGCTAGGATTACAGGCATGAGTAATGAGTTTACTAAATTCCTCATTGTCTGCACAGAACCAAAAGCAAAATGCTTGGACATTAAAATAGGAACCATTAGGGAGAAATGGCACCTGGAAATATACAAATGGACATTCCTTGGTGTTCGATATTTCTGACTTTAAATATCTTTATTCAAATGAGCAGTCTGAATATCTTTTTCTAAGCAATTCCCCTCTTACAGCAGCGGAATAGAAAGTGACTCATCTATCAGTACCTCAAAAAATTGTAAGCTGCACATGGAAGAAGAATCTTCATTTTAAGCATCCAATGTGAGGGAATAACATCATCATGAAAAACATAGGAACTCAGAATAGCCTTGTTTGGCACAGGGTATACACCCTCCTTCACTTGTATCCCCAAAGGGCTAGAAATACTTCTGCATTTTTCTAAGGTATTCAGTTGCAGCAAGTACTGCAAGAGCTTTTCAAGTTTGTTTCCCATTACATCTGGCCAAATACCTGGAGAACCTTACCTTGCATTATGCATGACCCTCTGATTCCAAGTAAGTTTGGAAACAAGAGTTTGCTCCTGCCACCTTTGCTTTTAGTCTCTTTGACAGACTGCATCAGGGAAGTGGGGTTTATTTTTGCAATGGAGAAGGATTTTCGATCATGGTAAAATCTGGAGTTTATACAAATTATAATGGTGCCCTCCTACCTCACTCAGCAAGGAATTTGCAAAAAAGAAAAAATAAATAAAGATCCAGTACCACTTCAATGTCACTCTGTGGCAAAGAGAATCTACCAAAGTGGCAGGTCAGGAATCTAGCTGCCCTCTGCTGAAATTACGCTCAACTTTAAATTCAGCTCTTGGAAGAAAATTGAAATATGGAAATTTAGTTTTCGAGCTTGGGTCGATCAGAGATCAACACTTCAACTGCAGCAATAGAAACTCAAAGCAGGTTAAAAACCAAGAGGTTTAATGACACTCAATTGTGAAATTGAGGTCTCATTCCTTCCTCTTTCAAGGTTTATACAGATCATTTGTAGGTCTTTATTGCTCATTCTGCCCCTCCTCACTTAGGAAACTATCTTTTGGTTTTAAAGACTACACAGCTAGAAATCCCTGAACAAGGTACAATAATCAGTTACACTATGCAGAGGGCAGTTGTTCCAAGATAAATATCAAAATAGAAGCTTAATGATTCTTACAGTTACCACCTGTTAGAACACTCCTGTGATGTGGAGAGCACATGTGAACAACTCATTAACAGTTGTCATTTATTGGCTTCAGTCCATGTGTCAGACAGGCTCATGGATTATCTTGTTCAATCCTCATAGCAGTAGGAGACACTGACACCTTTCTGCATGAAGAAACAGGCTTAAGGAAAGTTTCAAACATGCCTAAAAATCACCTCACTCCTCAGTAGTGGCAAATCAAGACCTTCACTCAAGTCTTTCTGCTCCTCATCTTATGTCATCCCTCATATTAGCACCCACGTTTAATAACAAAGTGGTAAATCTCTGGCTTTTCATTAACACAATGGTGCTTGAGGGATAATTGGTGGCAATAATAATAATAATAATAATAATATATTCTTTGTTATCATAGCATGTTATATATCTATGCTTTCCTTTTTATTATATTCTTATTACCTTTATGTGGTTGTACAAGTCAACATGTCAGGTTTTAAGTACAATATATCTTGACCTATAGCATTTTTTTTCATTTTTCTTCTTCATCCCTCCCAGTTATACCCATCCTTTCAATTTTTCCTACTTTTGTAAGGTATTAACACTGCATTCTCCCCTCCTCCCTCTCTTCGTTTGTTTATTTCTCCCCTAGAACTCATATACATAGCAACCTCAAATACCACCTTCCTGGTATTCATTTTGTTACAGAGTAAGTTAGTTTTCAAAAGAATTATGCCATTGAATCTTCCCCTGAATATAGCCTGCTTTCATGGATATGTTTACAGCCAGTATATACAATCATGTATACATTTACATGTATATTTATAAATTAGATCTGACTTCCACTGAGTAGTTTCTAAGGACCCATTCATATAATCTTCACAACTACTCAAAGAAGTAGGAAACTCCTCCAGCGCCACTGAGGGCATAAGCAACTTCTCCAAGGTCACACAGATGGTAGAAACTTAAGAGTTGGATCTATGCTTCAAATTCAGACAGCTGGCTCCTGAGCCTTTGCTCTTAGCCATAGTGCTATGCAATAGTGCTTGGCTAGGAGTTTAAATCTGAATACAGACTAAATTTACATCTACATTTACACGAACTCAGGGCACATCCTGAAATGGCTCAACTACCTTAGCACAACTTATGAATTAAAGTGAAAGCTAAAAAAAAAATCGATGAAGTTCGTGATCAATATGAACAACCTAATGTATTCTTGAATTATTCTGCTCAATTAAGTTTCTATTACAGAGTTTAATCCACATATTTGACAAGTAAAACAGGAATAAAAATGATGGTTATGTGAAATTAATCAACATGCCAAATGACTTTCGACAGCTAACTCATGCACCTCCAAATATATTTTTAAAAATCTATTCCTGCAAATATTTTGTCTGTGCGCATAGGTACACAATGATATTTGGTATTCTGTGCCCAGAATATAAATCTAATTTAATATCTGTTCAGAACCACATAAAAATGTTAATTAACCTTGTTGGCAAGGGCAAAATATTCAATGTCTCAAGGATTTGGTGGGTACCAGATTGTTGAAGGTAAATATTAACTATTGAATTCTCGACTCGGATGCACCCAGACAAGAAAGAATGAAAGCAAAATGGCAATGCATGCATGTATAGAGAACGAATACATAAATGCATTTATATAATGTGCAGAAGTACCAATTAAAACTATATTACTTAATGTATGAATGCATAAATATACATGAATATAGACATTTTACTGTTAAAACTTTTTCTAGTGCTAATTTCCTAATGACCTGAATGTTATCAAGTGTTAAGTTGTTGAGAGTTTTAAGTTAAAGACATTGTAGACTAATAAATAGCTAACAGATTTTCTTTATTTTCTTTTTTTTTCTTTTTTTTTCTCTGCAGGTATTCCCAGTATTTCCAGTATTGGTAGTAAGTAAAAAAAAAAAATTTAAATAAGACAAAAATCACCAAACCAAGTCTAAACTAGCTTTGCATTGTAGTTCAGTTCTTCAGATCTGTTTTTCCAGTATCCATTTCTGATGTAAGAGACCATTTCCTTGGTGAACTGAATTTTTGTCTTGGTTTCCTGCACAGCTCTGTGAGAGAGAACAGTGAATATAGTTGTTTATACACAGCTCTCCACTATATATATACTGCCTCAGCTTTCCTCACTGCTTGTATTGAGTAGCACTTACTTAGGTAAAAATTGTTCATTTAAAGAAAAAAAAAAAGTCCTAGATACTCATACTTCAACAACAAACAACTCTCTCTCTAGAACGAGATATAAATTCCTAACATAACAGAGAGGCGCAGAGAATGGCTACCAGTGAAATCCTCTGGGCAGATTCTGAGGGAAAAGAAAAGAAGGAAAAAGAAAAGTCATATGATATCACTTTCCTAAATTACAGCGGTCATGTAGTTTTTCTTTTGAGCACTTAAGTTCCAGGTTTGGTTGAAAAGGGGCTTCCAAAACACGTGAAGAATTTTAGTATCAGAAGACCAGAAATCCCTGCAAGGAATCTCTTAGGGGAAAACAGAGTAGTCAAGGAGAATTGTCTCTTCAGTTCTGTAGGTAAAACCTTCTGCAATATCATTTCAAAGAATATTCTCCGGCCACCACAAAACGTCAGACTCTAGTTCCTCTTCCTTTGATAGTCTAACCCCAAGCCTGAAATACTCATTGAAATTCACATATTTTTTAAACACTGCACCCTTAAGCTCCAATGGCTAAACCGTGGAACCATTACTGAATAGCTGAAGAGACAGAAAGTAGAGAGGAGTCCTCCATGATGCATTGTTTGAGTCATCCCTTTGGCCTGGTCTTTCTAGGGCTTGTGCCACAGGACTGTGCCAGGAAGGTGTAGCATATATGCCAGCAGCTGTAGTATTGCCATTCTGAACACCCTTCTAAACAATAATATTCTGATAATTTGGAGGGAGGGGAACTTCCCGCTTCTTATAAATGCGCAGTCAGGTCTTCCAGTTTATAAACCAGCCCAGTTTATTTAATCTTGTGAAGAAGTTTGGGCACTGATTTGTTAGGCACTAGACACGTCAAATGCCACGCAAATCGGGCCACTTTGGGAATTGAAGTAGTGTTCCTATCCATTTAGACTCTTGCATCCTCTTTGCGGGGCTCCAAAGCTAGAGGGACTATTGAGGCGGCTGTCCTAACCTGGCCTGTCTAAAGTTTCAGAAATGGATGGATGGAAAAGTAGGTCTTTGGTGCTGGGCTGTGTTGTTTCTGTGTTGAGTGCCAGTTGTGTGTTGCATGAATCCCCTGACTGACTGTACTACTCACGCTGTACCTCATCCGCCGCCTTCACCGCATCCTCCATCTCTGAGCATCAGCAGATGTTGACCTTTCACACACCCAATCCGGGAAAATCCCAGTTTTTGTCTTGCTTGGGTTTGGTTTTGAAATCAGTGGTGACCTGAAAGGATGCTTTTGTTGTGCCTTTGGGAAATGTGTTAACCTCTATTATCAGGAACCTAAGGAAATTTAACTCCTGATACCCATGACCAAAACCTTGTGACTAAAAATGATAGCTTGTAGTTTGCATTCAGTATGCCTCTGGCTGATCTGCTGGGAGCGTGAGGGGTGTTTTCTCAGATTTCAGCAAGTAGGATGTAAGAGCGTCTAGGGGTCACCCCACATCACACATGACTAGCTTGCCTGTTGCCTAGCTTTTAAGGTAAAGGGATTTGCGATTAAACCATCAGACACGATTGTATCTTCTAGGCTGCTTTAATGATATCCACAAGTTCCTTCTTTGTGGGCTTATAAGGTGCTTGTTGTATGCACTGGTAGATTCCTTTCCTCTCCAAAGGTCAAAAATTCACACAGAGATGATTTCACTGCCTGTCCACCAGGATGCAGGAAGGGAGGAGTTTTTCAAGATGCCCAGTCAGGGAAAAGGAAGATGCATGAATTTTTTTAACCAAATGTTGAACTGGTGTTTACCAGGGATTTTCATTTTTCCCCCAAAGAAGGAATCACTAAATGCAATTCCACCAGCTATTACAATGTACCACACCAACGAGACTCTCATCCTCAGAATGAATCGCAAGGAAAACAAATGAGGCATATTATTGATGTATGTAACCATAAGCTTACATGCATACATCATATACACTTGTCTAAATGTTCTAGCCTTATAGACCTTAAATTGTCAAGGCCCATATTAATGTTCAAATGCATGGACAGAATGGACATCCTTTCTGATCATCTCCTAAACAAATTTCCTATTAAGGTCATTTTGTACTTGCTGTTGTCTCTCTATTAGGAAGTAAGTTTCCTAAACATCCCAAGAGTACGTGATTTAAACCTCAGGTCATTTTGATGTGCTTTGACCATGGCTGAAAAGATTTCTGGTGATATTGTCAGCAATTAATGATTCCCAAAATGGATCTCTAGTCCTTTGAGCCTTACCATTTCTGAATTTACGTTACCTAAAAGGACAACAATTCATTCCGTTTTCACTTTTTTATAGTGTTCATATACTTCACAGGTTAATTTGAAGTGATCATTTGTTGATGCTATTAATCCAAATTAATAGTGGTATGTTTGTTGATGTTTTTGTTATGGTGATAAACTAATCATTACCTTCTAACATATACCATCTGATTACAAGTCCTACAAAGCAAATCATTTCACTAATTATGCCAAACAATATATTACAAATAGCATAATTAGATCACCGAGAATTGAGAACTGCCCCAATACAAAATAGCTTCATGAAGGTGATGATCACTTCTTGCCAAAGCATATGACAGACATGTGAGAGCTTAAAGGTAGAACATCAACACAATAAAAGGTCACATCAAGAAAGATGGCTTTTAAAAACTAGGAATATTTAAACAAACCATATGCCTGAGAATATCAATAAAAGAAGAGCAAGAGGTAAACTTTTGTGAACTGGTGAAAGCTTATTCTTTAATAACTATCAAATGACTGACATGATTACATACAAAGTACAGACTATTGATGAGCTGTTTGTCTATTCCTTCTCCCCTCCACTCACTAATTAATTCAATTTAAAAGAACAATTCACTTAAGGGAAAAGATCTCATTTTCCTGTTTTCTCTTATAATGAGCATTACCTTTATCATAGACTTAAACATTCATCTCTAATTTGATTTAATTGGCAGGACTATTAAACAAGGGAAGTGCTACCTGCAGGGATCCATCAGCCTGTTGAGAAAGACCAGAAATGTTTTCATACTTGAAAACATTTGATGCCAGTTGGAGTCCTTGTAAAAATTGTTTTCCATACAATATCCAAATATTTTAATGCGGTATCAATATATTGTAGCAACCTAGATGGTAGGGGGAACAAGGTTAATCATTTTCTCACCCAAGGGTTATTAATAATCATGTTCATGCTATCTAGAGAGTTACAGTGTGTGTTTGCTTTCCCCTCTTTTGCTTTAATACTTCTAAATCCTACAAATAAAAGTTTCATTTGAATTGCCCTTTAACTAATTAGGTTTTATATAAAATGAGGGGGGGGGCGTGATCAGGCTAGTGTAGCGATATGGCAAGCAAATTGCATGGTGTGCTGCATTAATTTGGAACTGTTTGCTGATGTTCTAGACCGAAAGCTCACATCCCAGGTGAAACACCTTTGGGACCATGAGATCATGTACCCAGTATCCTCATCCCAGATCCATTTCATATTTGTGTAACTAGCATTTCACATCCATGATACCTTTGTGATTATCCTAAAATTGAATGAACATTAGGACATAGCTGCCTCATTAATCCTGAAGAAGAAATCAGATACTCCAGTACAGGAAGGGAGAAGACTTAATAAACAAAGGTCTGAGAGGTTTACCAATTTTTATTGACAACAATTTGCCCATCTTAAGCAAATTGACCTTTCCATGGATTAACCTTTTTCCTAGACAAATTTAGAATGTCAAGCCACTTTTTTAAGTGTGAGCTGATATCTCTACCTTTGCTAGTTCTCCATGTGGGATGGGAACACTTTTAGTGGGAGCAAGAATTTGCCAAGATTTCCAAAACATAATATAATAAACTTCAAACATGTTCATTGTGAATTCCTGCACTGTTGTAGTCACATAATGGACACATCATTTGAAGTTTTTTTTTTTTGGAATAGCAATGGAGAGATCACCAATTAACTGCTCCACTACTTGGGAAAAGTTAGGCCAAACTATTTTCTTAGAATTATGAAGTGGTAGTCCCTTGTACCTACAGAACAGTCGATCTGAGACTTATCAAGTATAATATGATGTGGTCAGAAATAATAGCCTGACTTTAAAGGCTACACATAACATTATTCCAAGTGGAAAAACTTAGACAAGAGCCTAGATTTGTGGACACCTACACCATGTCTGAACCATCCACTACACTGTAATCTTAAAAGATATGATGGTCTCTGAATTAATCCATTTCTTTCTAAGAAACTATGAAGTCATGGAGAAAAAAATAGACATTCATTTTGTGGTACTTTACTGTGTTAACAGAACTCAAAAGTATGTTGTGTAGCTACAGAAGATAAGTGATTATCCTTCCCTCATTAAAATATGTCCATCCTCTATCAGTACATCTCTAATGTACTGAGGAAGAGGGGAAACATATAAATTTTGGATATAATATAGAACATGAAGTGGGCCATGAAATTAGCTATGCAAATTGTGAAGACTGCATATATATACTGTTAGAAACCAGGAGGAGAAGGTTACCTCCAAGGCTCTAGGGATTTCTCCTGTACTACTTCAGGGTTCTCTCTAGATTCCCCTCTAGATATCAATAATATTACTTCAAGGTTCCCATGGAGGGGGCTGGGAAGGTTGCTCAGTGGTAGAGTGCTTGCCTTGCATGCCTGAGGCCCTGGGTTCGATTCCTCAGCACCACATAAGCAAGAAGAAAAAAGCCGGAAGTGGCGCTGTGGCTCAAGTGG